AACTTAAAATTTATTTAAGCCACGACAGCTATTTACATTCTATTGCTTGATTTAAGAAATTTCCAGTCTGGGTTTGTATATTCTAAGTAGCTAATCTGCCATTCAATTTTTATTTAACAAGCTATGATCTGTACATGGTAAATGTTATTATTCAGATTTTACCTGGGCAAATTATCTATGCACATGCCTGTAGTCCAAATCTTCTTACTGAATCTGCCACAGTTTAATAATAACAGACTAATAGCATAATCTTTGCAATTTATATTCCAACTTTGCTCACTTGGGACTACCTTTACTAAGTATGGAAAGATGGTAAGATTCCGTTTAAAAGAGTTACTTTGAATTCTGTAGATGAAGCAAGGATGCATCATTGCATAGGGCATTATTTCCTATTCAGATACTGATTGGACTAGGATTGCATTTTCCCAGTTACAAAATAAATTGTGCATTGTGTCCATAAAGGGAAATGTCTGAACAGCAAAAAGGCAATCTTGGAAGAAACTGTGCAGCTTATATGCAAAAAATAAATGCACAGTCATCATGTCAAAAAATAATCGTTGCACAGCCATTGAAATCCTGAGAAAAAGCTTCAGGATGAGGAAAGAACTAATTTAATTGACTCAAAATGTAATTTCTGTGCTCTCCTGTAAATACCAGCCATGCATTCATAACCCAGGAATATAAATTACTCAACAGAGGCCTGAATAATTAGGCCCCTGCTGGGGGCATTGGAGTCAACATGTCTGCGTCTCTGTAAACAGTGACACAGGATGGAGAATTGGGGGTGGGGGGGGGGAAAGACTTGTTTCTACAAAATTGGTAGTCTAATCTGGCAAATTTCATGAGGGAAGATTGTATCAATAGGTCTGGCTGCTACTCCCCGAGAGAAAAACAAGATCCTATCATGAGACAAATCTCAAATAAGAAATTCCATGATTGATCAACTACAGATAGAAGGAGGTTTTTGGGAGAGGGGGGAGAGTTCAAACTACAGCAGGGTTTGGGCAAAACATTTTGTGCATCTCATTGGCCTCTTTTTAAAATGGCCTATCCGTTTTAAAAAGAGAACTGAGACAATCAGAAAAAAGGTCAGGATTTATTTCAAGTCACTGTTAAATAAGGGCTTTGATTTCCTTTGTATGCAGACCCAAAGATGTTTTTTCACGAGGCAACTGGACTTTCTTGTCCAAGAAACTCCAGTTGCCTCACAAAAAAGCATCTTTGGGATAACTATGACCTGGATGACTGAGAATCTCCATAGACATTATATGCAGACAGAACTCATTTTACTTTGACTTTTTTCTACTTTGGGAATGGCCCATTTATAGTGGTAAACACTGAATTTCACAAAGTGATGCTAACAGGATCACTCAACTACACAACAGAAACACCAAAACTAAATGTTGGCTGCCCAAAGGCTGCATCATTTCATGGCAGAGGAAGAGAGAGGGAATGAGGA